TAGATGTAACAAGCATAGTGTAGTCATTCTCAATGCATATTTATAGCTGTGAAGTTCTAGCCTGAGGTTGACAGGTAATAAACATGCTTTTATCTCTATAGCTTGTATAGGACTTGTTTTAAAGCATTCAAGAATCTTCCTTAGGGCTTGATTTTGAAGTTTTTGAAAGAGGTTCTTGTAGTTTATTTGTTATTTCCACCAGATTGGAGATCCAAAGTCACTAATAGATGTAGTACAAGCTTTCTATAAGGTAATTCCAGCTGGGACAGACATTTTTTTTTCTGATCCAAGTAGTCTACTTAGGCTATAAAAGGCTCTTGTAGCTGTTGTTACTTTTCTAGTAACATGTTCTTTGAAAGATAATTTAAAGTCAAACCAAATTCCTAACCATCTAACACAGGTACTAGAGACTATTATAGTTCCATTTGGTAGTGTACATGTAGCTTGGCTTGGTGTTTTTGTCCTTTGAAAGTAAATAAGCTCTGTTTTTGTATCATCAAATGCAATAGCATTTTCTTTTTCCCAGGTAAAAGCTAGTTTAGTAATTTCCTTAAGGATTAAACAGTTAGCTATAGATGTAGTTCCTTGGACTACCATAGCTATATCATCAATATAGCTAGGTAGTTTAACTATAGGGAATCTATCTTAGATATAGTTGAATAGAAATCTTAAGTATAATAAAAATAAGATAGGTGATAGAGGTGAATCTTGTGGAATTCTAGTATTGATAGCTGTCATAGGTTGTTGTTGTTCATTAAAAGCTAGATTAATTTGTCTTTGTATCATAAAGTAGTTTGTCTAGTTAAGTACTACTTTTGGTAGTTAAAGTTGTTGTAAAACTTGTAGTAGTTGTATAGTTGAAACATGGTCAAATGCTCCTTTTACATCCAAGAATAAGTAGAATAAAACTTGTTTTTGATTCCAAGCTTCTTGAATATCATGGGTAAGCATCATAGCTACATCTATAGCTGATCTTTGTTTTCTATCTTCTATTTGCTCTTGGTGTAGTAGATCTTGACTATCTCCTAGATAGGATAATCTAGTAGCTATAATCTTTTCTGAAATCTTGCCTAAGCAGTTAAGGAGTGTAATTATCCTATATGCTTTTGGTTAAGTATAGTTAGGCTTTGATGGTTTCTTTAATACTACTCTTATGCCTTGTCTCCAGCTAATAGGATAATATTCTTGATCTAATAGTATTTAATATACTAAAGTAAACCATCTTAAAATGTATTGAAATGCTTTTTGAATGATTGCAAAAGATAATTGATCAGGTTCTAGAGCCTTTTTTGGAGTAGAAGTTTGAATAGCATGCTTGATTTCTTGTTGAATAATCTTTGGCCAAGGGTATGTTTGAGTCTTGTATTGAACTCCTGTAGTTCTTTAACTTGTAGATAGTGTAGGAAATAAAGTAGTTAAGAAAGCTAAACATTTTCCTTCAAAAGTAGTTTTTAGAATAGCTGGTCCTTGAATAAAAGAAAGTTTTTCTACTTTTCTTGGATTAGTATAATGATATGCTTCAAAAACATCAGCTCCTTTAGCATTTGTTAAAAAGTTTGTCCAAGATATTTTTTTAGCTTGTCTAATACTTCTAAAAAAACTATTTCTTTTGGTAGTATATTCTTTCTATAGAGCTTGGCTTTTGTTTTGCTTTCATTGTCTCTTTGCTTGAGCTACTTTAGTTCTTTAAGATGATAGTTGGTCATTTTACCATGGTTTAGATCTTGGAAGACAGAGTAGTCTAGTAGCTATATACTATATACCCTCTATCTCCACCAATAAGAGTTCAAATCAAGTATAAATTGGTTCAAATTAAAGAAAACTTCTCAGGCTCTTAATTCCATCTTGATTGACTTTAATTGAGTTAAAATTGATGGAGTTATAAGAGTTTGAAATTTTCTTTATTTTGGAGACAAGAGAAGAAAGGTTTCTTTCCTCACTACTCAACCAAATCTTATTTTATTTACTCCAAACTTGTTTTATATGTTTATCTACCTATTTTATTTAATTTATCTAAAATTTACAAAA